AAAGACTCGCCACAAGTGGACAAATCTCTTATAGTGTGATTAGACTCGTATGGTGCTTAGGAAGAGGCTTTTGCATTGTTATTATTTTTGCACTGAATGATAACAAGGAAAACAATCTATTACCAGCTGAATAAAGCACATCAATATATATATATATATATATATATATATATATATATATATATATATATATATATATATACACACACACACACATATATACACACACACACACATATCCACACACAGTGCACGTCAGAAATCTTGGCAAGAGAGGGACCGCACCAAGATTTTTGACATTTTTCGGTAATAACCCTCTAATATCATGCAAATCGACCTATAATCTTGATGCCCTGTCAGCTGATAGATTACTCATCTGACTCCATATTGGCGGTTTCAGATATCACTCAATTATTTCTGGGCAGTGACAGTGAGCAGAATTGCTATGTGCTTTTTTCATGAATAACCTAGCATTTTGCCTGAGTTCTGTTGCTGTTTTTGTGTGTTGTGACGGGTGCAGGTAAACATCTGAAAAGTGCTCAGATTGCTGCTATTACAGCATTCTGTAAGGCGGGAAAGTCCAGTACAGAAATATCAAATACAACCGGAATTTCATTGTGAAGTGTCCAGGGGGTGGACCACAAAAGTTCATGACTGTGGAGACACTGACCCACCACTGCAGAAAAAGCAGCCAGGGAGGCCACAGAAAGCATCTAAATGCACATTAAATGTGCTCAGGAGGCAGGTGGATAGTCAGCAAAGAATAACAGCACCAGAATTAAAAGAAAGGAACCCAGTGTTACTGGCCGATGTGTCTGTGAGAACCATACAGTGACGGCTCCACAATGACTTGAAATTTTCCCACTGCATTGCTTTCAACAAACCGATTGTCACCCTTAAACATAGGCAAAATATGGTTGCTTTTTGCAAGAAATATCTTCATTGGAACGAGGACAAGTGGAAATGAGTGTTATGGAGTGAGGAGGCTACATTTAGTGTAACTGGAAACAGAGACGGCAAAGTTTATCGCCACCCTGAAAGTGATCTGTGTGACCCGAGATTCATCCAAGGGACAGAAATATCCAGATAAATTAATGGTTTAGGGTGGTGTGGTGCCTTGGGGTACTACATGTGGATACATTGGTAATACTACCAAGGAATGTTTTGATGAATGCAGACAGATATTTAGAGCTACTGAGTGATACTTAGTAAGAATGCTTTGAGCGGTGCCAAACAGACGTGTTGATGCCGGATGGTGCAACTTGCCATAATGGAAAGCATTAAATCCTATTGAAAACTTGTGGGCACTAATGAAAAACAGATTACGTGGGAATGATACCTCATCAGTCCCCAAGCTTGAGGCAGCCATTACAACACAGTGGCCAAAAACAGCAACACAACTCAGGCAAAATGCTTGGCTATTCAGGAAAAAAATCATGTAGCAATTCTGCTCACTGTGACTGCCCAGAGGTAATTGAGTGTTATATATATACATATATATATATATATATATATATATATATATATAATATATAATATAAATATAAAATATATATATGAATATATATATATTATATTTCCTTCCACTTTTGCTCTTTATTTTTCCTCTCCATCGGCTCCTCATTTTTTTCTTAATATCAATACAAATAACCCCTCACAAGCTCTTCTCACTCACACAACATATATTCCGCCCTCACACACACACACACACACACACACACACACATACCAACACCACACACACACACACACACGCACATGCACAGTCCACACACAAACGCGCGTGTAATACAGTACACGAATTGCGCATGTTAATGTCTGCATTATATGTGCTTCTGTGTATATATGTCTTCTGATTTGACAAGCCAACGGGCACTGTGCGAGCAGAAGAATGCCATGAGGGCCAGAAACGGAAGACGAAGAGAACACGCTCTAGGATTAAGCATTGTTGGAGCGATAGGAATGGCGAAGGAGTGAGCGAGTTGGGCAAGTCGTGTGGAGGGCAGATCGACGCGGTAGATTGGCCAAACAATCAGTATTTTATTTGATGATTTTGATATTTTTTTTGCAAAGATCAATTGCAAACTTGCTCAAACGTATTGCGAAAATTGTTCGGAATTTTACTGTTAGAATTGATCTGTTTGCAAGTTGATTTAAGATCTAAGAAATACCGTGACCATTTTTTCTCATATAACAGCATAAATAAATGATAGCAATAAAAATCATCAACCTCAAGAAACATAATAGATTATTTACAACGTAATGTAAAATAAGATCAGAGTTAATTCAATTCCGTCTCGAGATATAATCAAATGCAAAATGTACTTGTACTGGCATTTCAACTTCATCAACTGAAATATGACCTGTCTTGTTACTTAACGGCGCTCTGTCCGAAAATGGTCATGCACAGCGATTGCACGACGACCATTTCTGTCATGAAGGACTCATTCATGCAGATAATACGTGTGTTTATGTTTGTATGAATGTTTATTTTGTGTGTAATTTTGATGCTCGTAGCAAAGGGTAGTTTGAGCAAAAGTTGAAATGCCAACAAGTACAAGTTACAATTTGACCATTTTGATTATATCTCGAGACGAATTGAATTAACTCTTGATTCTTATTTACATTACGTTGTAAGATATCTATTATGTTTCTTGGAGGTTTGATGATTATTTATTTGCTATCATTTATTTATTGCTGTTATTATGAGAAAAAAATGGGTCACGGTATTCTTAGATCTTAAATCACGTTGCAAACAGATCAATTTCTCTACAGCTTTAAAATTCCGCAACAATTTTCGCATACGTTTGAGCAAGTTGTGCAGATTTGATCTTTGCACAAACAATAATCAAATCATCAAATAAAATACTGATTGTTTGGCCAATCTGCCCGCGTCGATCTGGCCGCTCCACACGACTTGCCAACTCGCTCATCCTTCCGCCATTCCATATCGCTCCAACAATGCTATAATCAGAGCGTGTTCTCTTCTTCTTCCGTTCTGGCCCTCATGCATTCTTCTGCCTCGCACAGTGCCCGTTGGCTTCAATCAGAAGGGAATATATTACACAGAGAGCACATTATAATGCAAGACATTAACATGCGCAATTCGTATGTTACTATTGTATATACACGCCGCTTTGTGGTTGACTGTGNCAGAAGAGAGAAACAGAGACAGAGAGAAGCAAGAAGACAGAGACAGGGAGAAGCAAGCGAAACAGAGACAGAGAGAAGCAAGAGAGACAGAGACGGAGAGAAGCAAGAGAGACAGAGACAGAGAGAAGAAGAGAGAAAGAGAAGAGAGAGAGACAGAGAGAGCAGCGTCCAAGGCTGCAGAAATGCCTGATCATGCTTACAGCGAATTGACCTTTCAAAATCGTCCTTCACAGAAAACCCATTCTACGTGGATCCTCACCTGAGCTGACCTGGATTCCCCGCCGAGTAACTAAAAGGGACAGAGGAAATAGCCAGGAGGAATAGAGGAGAAAGAAGAGATTAGAGTAAGTCTACAAGAAGTAAATCAAGAAGACGAAACAGAGGAGAAAGAGATTAGAGTAAGTCTACACGAAGTAAACAAGAAGACGAAATAGAGGAGACAGAGCAAGGTCATAATAAATAGTAGAACAAGAAGAGGGCGATAAATAATGAGAAAAGTTAAATGACGATAAATGATGAAACAAAGAACATCACAAAATCCACAGCACCAAAGATCATCCAAATCCTCATGGCCGTTTAAATCTATTGCATCATCAATGTTATCATCATTATTCCCAATCATCATACAAAGAAAATGAATAAATCAAAATTAGAAACAGGAGAGGAAAGGAGGAGGAGGAGGAGGAGGAGGAGGGGGAGGAGGAGGAGGAGGAGGAGGAGGAGGAGGAGGAGGAGGGGGAGGGGAGAGGAGAGTCGGTGTGAAACAACTCCTCACGACGAGGGGAGGGGGAGAGGAGAGGAGGGGGGGGAAGAGAGAGGCGAGGAAAGAGGAAGAAAAAGGTGGAATGGGGGAAAGGTGGGCGGGAGGAAGATGGAAAATGAGGAGGGAGAAAGGAAAAAAAATGAGGAAGGAGTGGGAGTGAGACGAGGAGGAGGAGGAGGAGGAGGACCGGGTCTCTCATTATCATAATCCAGTCGTTCCGGACATTTTCTCGATAGATATCCGATGCGGTGACGTAATCTGGAGCGAGCAACATCAAAGGGTTCAACGATTCCTTCCTTCCTTCTTCCTTCCTTGCTTGCTTCCTCCACCGTGCTTCCTACTGATGGGTGGGTGGGGGGGGGGGACTCCGAGAAATGAACGCTTTCTCGTTTTAAAATTGTGTGTGTTGTTGTGTGTGTGTGTGTGTGTGTGTGTGTGTGTGTGTGTGTGTGTGTGTGTGTGTGTGTGTGTGTGTGTGTGTGTGTATGTGTGTGTGTGGTTGTGGTGTGTGTGTGTGTGTGTGTGTGTGTGTGTGGTGTGTTGTGTGTGTGTGTGTGTAGCTGTGTGTGTGTGTAGCTGTGTGTGTGTAAGCGTGTGTGTAAGCGTTGTGTGTGTGTGTGTATGTAGCCGTGTGTGTAAGCGTGTGTGTGTGTGTGTATGTGTGTAAGCGTGTGTGTGTGTGTATGTAGCCGTGTGTGTATGTAGCCGTGTGTGTATGTAGCCGTGTGTGTAAGCGTGTGTATGTAGCCGTGTGTGTAAGCGTGTGTATGTAGCCGTGTGTGTAAACGTGTTAGTGTGAGCGTGTGTGTAAGCGTGTGTGTAAGCATGTGTGTAAGCGTGTGTGTAAGCGTGTGTGTAAGCGTGTGTTGTAAACGTGTTAGTGTAAGCGTGTGTGCCTTTTCACGGGACGAGGACCCCAATTCTGAGAACACCAGCGACGTCCCGCATGCAAAACGTTTCACAAATTCGTAAACGTTTCTCATGAAGATCGTGTTCCAGAAAGGTGCATCGCCCTCCCTTGGAAATGCCAGGGGATCGATACACTCTTTTCTGCGAAGTTTCACATGAAAGGAACATACATGAA